AGCTGGCTTATAGTATGCTATTGTACCTGCTCTTAGAGATATTAGGACCTGATAACTAACCGGCATCATCATCATGCTAATATTAGGATTTGATATTAGCATTCTCATAATAAGAAAAGCACAATTCTTAAAGAGATGAACCATAAAGATTAAAAAATTACCATTAGAAAGTCCCATGTCTTCTCACTTTAAGTATGGACATGTCTTCTCACTTTAAGTATGGACACGTTATGTTGATTTGCTTAGCTTTACCATACTGTGCTGTCACCAACTCAGGTACTGGTGTAGCCTGCCTCCTCATATCACGTGCCCATGAGCACGGCTGCATCACACCTTGGTTAGCTGCTTGTGTCCGTGTGTCGCTAAAGGTATGATTATGTACAAAATGAGAATGACTTATGTTTGTATCGGAGGAAGCGATCATACGAGACTTCATAAAACTAGGATCCCATGTAGACGGTATTCTGTACAATAGTTTTTCTGTATATCCATATAACAAGAAATGGTAGATCTCCCTTTTTTTGCAAGATAAAATCAAAGAAACTGTGTTTTTCTTTATATTTTTGCAACCACTGAACCACAAAAATACTAGTAGGGCAGATAGGTCGAAATATATCAAAACAAAACTCCAAGGCATGATTGTTCCACCGGCCCCCTCTTTTCTGCTTGTCATCACCCGCCTACGGCCTATACCCCCACCCACCCCAAACCCCAAAAGCCCAGATAAAATCCCAAGGAAGGCGAGGAGACGCCGCCATTTTTCACACCCAACAACTAATCCATCCCCCCCTCCACCTCCACGCGGTCAGCGCTCGCTCACGCGACACGCACCAACCCCTCTCCCCGCCGCCGCCGCCGCCACCAAACGCCGCCTCCGAAGAAGAAGAAGAAGCCTCCCTCGCAGGCAGCAGGGTATTTAATACGCCGCCCTGCTCGTCTCGGTTCCTGGGAACTTCTCTTCTCCTCCGATTTGGCCTGTCAGTGCGCTCCGCTCCGCTCGCGCCTATCCGCGGATTATCATGGGATCGACGGCGCTCGGTGGCGGGGCTCCTGCTCGCCTCGGCTTGGCCCCCAAGGTGCGTCACCCGCTGCGCTTCCCCTTCTCGCTTTCTTTCGGCTCGTTCACGATTACTGAATTGGATTGGATTGGATTGTGCGTCTCTTATTAGTTGGTTCAGTTGTGCCAAGGAAATTGTGTGTGTCTCTCTCTATGCTTATCCAGCGAGCTGTGAACCTGACGAGTTGTACCTAGCTACTTCTAGTTAGTTGACAATCGTAGCTTAATTTGCGTCATCACTTCATTCGACGAATCGGCTGTTAACTCCCATTATCGCCCCTTTTACCACTGAATAACACAGAAAATTATACTGCTAGAAATGAATGATAGAATCGAGAATGTGGCGAAGCTAACAAGTGCTGTTGAAATGTACCACTGTTGAAATGTTCTGTAATAAGGCATCCTATAAAGGGGGGGGGGGGTCTTGCTGTATCTTGCACTGAAGTTGGTCACAAGCACTGAATTTTCCTTTTTCCTGATGCACAGGATGGAGTCTTTGGATCTAATCTGAAGCAATGCGGTGGTTTCATGCTCAAAACAACCCCTAAGGTGAATTTTTTTTTCTTCTTTGTCATATTTTGTGAATAAGATTGGTTCGTTATACTCAAAATACTAAAAGAAATGGTCTTCCCTGCAGGTTGGATCCTCTTCAGTCCGTGTGAGGGCATCTGTTGCTTCTTCACCGCAGAAACAGCACTCTCCCAAGACATCAGGAGTTAAATCAGGGGAGGAGGTGCGCATTGCGGTTCTAGGTGCCAGCGGTTATACTGGAGCTGAGGTTGCTACACTCTTTCTCCTATTCCGGCTCACCACTTCTTTGATATGGTCCCATTTCATTGAAGATTTCTATCCTCTTTGGTTCGATTGCTAATGTGTTCAAATACATTTGCATTGGCAGATTGTCAGGCTTCTAGCAAACCATCCTCAATTTCGTATCAAAGTGATGACTGCAGATAGAAAAGCTGGCGAACAGTTTGGATCTGTATTTCCTCACTTAATAACACAGGTAAGATCTTTTTCTCAATCCTTGGTGCATAGGTAAATGTTTTGGTGGTACATACAATTATTGTGCCATAAATTTTTGCTGGTCAAAACTGTTGGATAATGTTGATGCTCTTTTTTCATGCAGGACCTGCCAAATTTAGTTGCAGTAAAAGATGCAGATTTTTCAAATGTGGATGCAGTTTTTTGTTGCTTGCCACATGGTACAACCCAGGTTGTTCATCCTCGACATGCCTTATCTGAATTTCCTTTTGTTATCTGCTTAATTGTATAAAGAAACAGTTATACATTCTGTCATATGAGTTTAAGATTTTAGAAATTCTTTTAAGCCATATCTGATTGTAATTTTTTACCAGGAAATTATTAAAGGTTTACCGCAGGAACTGAAGATTGTTGATCTCTCTGCAGTATGCTCTATAATCTCATGAATTTTCTACGTAGGTATCATTTCTGATTCTTGACAGTCAATCATTCTTATGGGTGACTTACCATGTTTGTAGGATTTTCGATTGCGTGATATCAATGAGTACGCTGAGTGGTATGGCCATTCTCATAGGGCACCAGAACTTCAGGTTTTCCTCGACTACTTAAACCTAGAAACCTTTTTAATAACTACCGCTGATTATGTAATCGTGCTATTCCTTGTATCTTTAAGTTCAATCTCAGCATGGATTATAATTATACTGACATGCTCAATCCCCTTTTTGTATGACAATTTTTTGGTGTTTTGATTTGGACACCTGTATTCATATCATAATTTCAGTTATTTATTTTGTGTCATTATGTTTGTTTATATGAACTTATTTCCTATATGGTTTATTTTTCTGTTTATTTAGCAAGAAGCTGTGTATGGCTTGACTGAAGTTCTTCGCAATGAAATAAGGAATGCACGGCTTGTTGCAAATCCGGGATGTTATCCCACATCTATTCAACTTCCTCTTGTTCCTCTAATAAAGGTGGGGGACTAATTATCAATAGTTCTTAGTTGTGCAAATCTCTGATTCTAATTGCATCAATAACTTGTCAACTCTAGAAATAGGAGTCCTCAGTTATGTCATGCAGTTACATTGAATCTACAAAAAATCCTCTAATTTTGGTTGCACGGAAGCTATATTGATCATAATTTTAAGCTTGTGAGCCATTCTTACATCCATAGTATCTATATTTTTCCTTAGCAGTTTGCTTACCGTGCAGGCAAAACTGATCAAAGTGAGCAACATTATCATTGATGCAAAATCTGGGGTTAGTGGGGCAGGTATGCATTTTGCATGAGATACTCTGACTATTAAGTAATTATATATATATATATATATATATATATATATATATATATATATATATATATATGCCATCATTATTAGCTGATATGCTGTGTAACACATGTATTTTGTAGGACGTGGAGCTAAGGAAGCCAATCTCTACACCGAGATAGCTGAAGGCATTCATGCTTATGGAATAAAAGGCCACCGGCATGGTAATTTTGTTTTTTTCTAGATTAGCTGAAATCAACATTAATTATGTGACCTTATACTGCTCTTTAACAGAATTTTATTCTCCTGTGATAAATGAATATACTAATAATAGAGTGTTTGCTTATATTTATCTTGTTAGTTACCTTTAAGGTAGCCTTTCTTTATTAACACAATGTGATAAAACCATGCCAGTTCCTGAGATTGAACAAGGACTTTCAGAGGCTGCTGAGTCTAAAGTCACTATCAGCTTTACTCCAAATCTGATTTGTATGGTAAGCACATTTGCACTCTTGTTGACTTAGTAATTCCAGGCTCTGTAGTTCCCTCTGTGCTGTACCAGGAATGTATAGAAGTTGCTAAATCAAATGACTCATCTGTATATTTAACAGAAACGTGGGATGCAATCTACTATGTTCGTTGAAATGGCACCTGGAGTGACTGCCAATGATTTGTATCAGCATCTCAAGTCTACATATGAGGTTTGTTGTCTGATCATGTGGGTTAAATTAACTATATGCATATTTGACAGAACCACTGTATTCCACTGAAGTGAATTCATCAGGGTTTAGATTCTTTTTTAGAGGGAATATCCATACTCTTGATATCAAAAGTATTTATTTACTTTATTTATTCTGCCCACATGCATTTTCAGGGTGAAGAATTTGTGAAACTGTTAAATGGTAGCAGCGTTCCTCACACACGCCATGTTGTGGGATCAAATTACTGCTTCATGAATGTCTTTGAGGACAGAATTCCTGGACGTGCCATCATCATATCTGTTGTAAGTGTCTTTCATCTACATGTTTCTCAAGCATTTAGCAATCTAATGTCATAGACTTCAGATGCATAATCCTATTTCTTGTTTTCAACAATGCAGATAGATAATCTTGTGAAGGGAGCATCAGGTCAGGCTGTTCAGAACCTTAATCTGATGATGGGTCTGCCAGAGAACACTGGGCTGCAATATCAACCCCTATTTCCTTGATCCTCTATGTCTGTGTTCCGTATGTTCTTTGTCGGGATGATACTTTGGAGTTCAGCTACCCATTTCCCTCTGTTTACTGTTGAGACAAGGTGCTCAACATCAGAGTGTAACCAAGACAAATTTTCTCAAAGAGTAGCTTGGTTTGTGCTGTTGTAGTTTTTATAGAGATAAATGACAATTTAGTAGTTTAATGAGAATATTAGCTCGGTGGATTTGGGCATTGAAATCCTACGGGTATATCCTGTACTGCTTTGTGGTTATGAAATCAAATAAAAGTGTAAACCTCAGTCAAGAGGCATCAATCACCCCGCCTTCATTGGATGTAGATAGGGATATATATTCATATTTTTACTCGATGGAATTTGTTTTGCTTGCTAATGCTTTATGATGATTGAAGCATTCCTTAGTTTAAATGTTTCTGAGAAGTGCTCACATCCTAAACCTTGCTGCAATAATTCAACCAACAAGTTATAGTGAATTGTATTTTCTAGGCTATAAAAATACCATTACCTTTGTTTGGGTCAGCTTTGAATTTCTCTTGTTAGGTCTCAATTTTTGAAATGCTTTATTAAAGCCCTAATGATGTAAATGGGCCCTTGCGGTAATTTTCTCACCTGACTCCAAATGACAAAACTAGCATTTTGAACTGGGTTACTATGAGTTTCAGTTTAGGTATTTGTTTCCCATTTCATATTTACTACTATTTTTTTATTTTGTGAACGTTGCACATCTCAGCAAAACTTTCTTTCTGGTTATACTGATAGTACATAACCTACCTCTGAGTTCTGCCCAAAATATCAATGTGGTACATATATTGCCAGGAGGCTGTAATAAGCAGCCAAAGTTGCACATGGTGCTACGGTTGGTAAGCGCTAGATATCTTAGAAACAATTCCAGAAATCTGATCTGGCAAGCATGAGCATAATTTGTGGTCCTTAGGTAGCATTCCTCAAGGAGGTCCTCACTTGTATTTCTTTGTTGGAGACCTTGTTATTGGATATAGTTAGGGGGGTGTATCTTGCAGATTTTTCCAGTTAAAATCAATTGTTGATACTTTCTTTCTGGTTATACTAATGGAAGATGCCATGTACCATTTGACTTGAACTTGCTAGATGCTAGGAAATGCTTTTGCAACAATGTCAGCCTTTGACCTTCAGTTGTTTATGTATTATCTCTGACTTCTAGTTCATTTCTAGTTCTTAAATATTTCTTTTGTTTAGTTTGACCACTTGCATAAATTTAAAGTAAGATATATGTTCGTCTGTTTCTATTCAGCTAATCTGGGGGTATTTTTGGTAGTGCTATACTGTAGGTGGGCCAATTGAGCATATGGATGGAAAATGCCATTTAACTGTTGATGCATCCTACTTTTTCACATGAATACATGATTGTATTACCTTTATGATAAAAAAGGCTGATTCACCTGCTGTTATGTTCTTTCATTTTCATGATAATGACATAAATGTAGGCATTTGGGTATTGTGTTTTCTGCAGCAGGAGATGCTACTGGATTTTTTTTTCATAGCTCACGAATCATGATGGGAGTTTGGGAGGCATGCTGCTCTTACTTTTATTTTTTATTTAAGTTTGTTATCGTTTTAGCTTACCCTATTTGCTGCAGTAGTAAGTTTCCTGTATTGTTGTCGCAAATGTGTAATTGCAAACTTGTTAAATCAGTAGTAGCAATTTGCATGTTCAGAGTACCTTGTTCACCATTTCATGTTATTGTTTTGTATATATGGTTACACAAGTTAGTAATGAAAACTTTCCACATATCAAAATCTTAAATGCTTGTCTAACTAGTTGATGAGAAGCCTGGCAATGGAAATAAAATTCAGAAAAAAGTAAAAGTATGTTTGTGCCATAAATATTCATGCTATAGTTTTGAAATATGTTTGATGAGAAAAATTAGTTACTGACCATTCTATTATATTGACATTTCTGTTGAAGTCAACCTATAATTTTTCTGATATTTTCTGATATCAAATCAGGCTTGCAATTCATTTGGTCAACTGAAAGTGATGTCATTTTCAAAAACTGAAAATGACACAATGAAAAAGATTTCAGGGAAGTTTTCCACACAAAAGAATAACTGAATCCAACTTGCAAACTTAAGTAGCTTGGTTAGTTTTCTTAATAAGATAGCAGTGAGCCAGCGAGGTTGTTTTTCCATATATGATACATTATTGGTAGTCCTACTTGATTTATGCACTAAGGAGAACTGTATATTTTGCCCCTTCAGATATACTTTATGGTCTTCAAAGGGAATAATCTCAATGTAATCAGGGTTCCTCATTATGCAACTGGACATTATAGAAGTCATGATTCAAGAGACATATGCCAAGCGCTTTTCGCATATTTGTGTATGATCTATGATTCTAAATTTTTTTTTAGATAATATGTGATTCTACATTTATTTCTATGTTTATTAGAAATATAAGATCGGTATTAGGTATTCCGTTATTCATGCTATGCAATTTGGCTGCATATCAGCATGGCATTGGAAGTTTCCGAGTTCATACTTCATACAGCTAAAAATCAGAGGTACAAGTAATCCACACCTTTGGTCCCTTGAATTCATTTTTCTTTGCTGGCATCTGAGCTTCATTTTTTATTCCCCTCATTGATCCTCTGTGTGGAACAAAGAGGCAAGAGGAATAAAAACTCTTTTGAAGGCGAAGGGGCATTGCAGAAATACAGCTCATCCCTTCTGCTACTTGTAGGATCTGAGTCATGTGCAGCTCCTATTGTTGAGGAGATCAGAACCGGATCATCGGATAATTCAGATTTTGTCGGGTTACTGCAAGGCAGAGTCCTTTTGATTTCACATGCTCAGTGATTTTCAAGATATACAACTACCATAATCTGAATATTATTTTTCTCTCCTGCAGGTCTCTGGTAATGTTTGCCTGGAACTATTACTTGGATAACCATCAGACAGATGTCATATTGTCTGACAATTACATCTAGCAACAGACTAGCCCAGTCTTTGCTGTGTCCAGATCTATCCAGCAAACAGTTTAATTTACTCCCAAAGTTATTTCTTCTTTAAACTTAGTTCAGAAAAAGGTATATGGATCACTGGAATGCCTGTATTTTCAGTGGGCTATCTTACCATGAGACAATGATGAAAACTGTGTGCATGTGAAGACAAAGCTCGAGATCTGCGGAGGCAGTGTCCAATCCTTTTTGAGCTCTGAAGAATGATTAGATTCCCCTCCATGTTCGTGCAAGCCTCTCCTGGTAGCTCCTTGAGTTTGTTTATTGGACGACTTCATTGCAGCAACATTCTCTACAATACAATCTCATAACATCTGATCCTGCATTAATTGCTAAGATAAGCCCATGTTTGTTCCTGTTTTGAACATAATGCAGTATATACTTGTTTTTTCATTGTCCTTTGATGCATCTAAACTGGGGATGATTTTCTCTCCAATCATTGAAACATGTCCTTGTGACACTTGCCTCTTGAGCTCTGATTGGCTTGACCTCTTAACTGTGTCTGATCTTGGGGCAAGTCACTATCCTGTCTACCAACTTGTAACAGCTAGCAGTTGAAATTTTTTTCTAATCCTCATAATGTGCACAGGGGTTGCTATCACCCCCAGTTCATCTCCAGCCGTGGGCATCTATTTATTTTAAGCATGATTTACCATTTCTTAATCCTGCAAGTTGCTGTGCTTCCATTCAACCTTTTGTCTTTTCATCAGGTATAAATGATCCTGCCATAACCTGCATCTCTTCTTCACCGAGCACAAGTGTATCAAACTATCAAACACAGCACGGTCCTCACACCACCTCTAACATCTCTCACATCCAAAACTTGTATCAGAAATGGAGTCCGGAGGGGTGATCGCGGAGGCGGGGTGGAGCTCGCTCGACATGTCGTCGCAGGCCGAGGAGTCGGAGATGATGGCGCAGCTGCTTGGAACCTGCTTCCCCTCCAATGGCGAGGATGATCATCACCAAGAGCTTCCTTGGTCGGTTGACACCCCCAGTGCCTACTACCTCCATTGCAATGGAGGTAGCTCAAGTGCATACAGCTCTACCACTAGCAGCAACAGTGCTAGTGGTAGCTTCACTCTCATTGCACCAAGATCTGAGTATGAGGGGTACTATGTGAGTGACTCTAATGAGGCGGCCCTCGGGATCAGCATCCAGGAGCAAGGTGCAGCTCAGTTCATGGATGCCATTCTCAACCGGAACGGCGATCCGGGCTTCGATGATCTCGCTGACTCGAGCGTTAATCTGCTGGATTCCATCGGCGCTTCTAACAAGAGAAAGATTCAGGAGCAAGGCAGGCTAGATGACCAAACGAAAGTGAGTTAACCTGATGATTTTTTATCATTTTTGCGATAACAGTGTATTAAGGCTGCTGTTTAAATTGCTGGTGTGCAGAATTTGCATGCTGATTTTGATTGAAATGGATATAATGCAGAGTAGGAAATCTGCGAAGAAGGCTGGCTCGAAGCGGGGAAAGAAGGCGGCGCAATGTGAAGGTGAAGATGGCAGCATTGCTGTCACCAACAGGCAAAGCTTGAGCTGCTGCACCTCTGAAAATGATTCGATTGGTTCTCAAGAATCTCCTGTTGCTGCTAAGTCGAATGGCAAGGCTCAATCTGGCCATCGGTCAGCAACCGATCCCCAGAGCCTCTATGCAAGGGTACTAGAGATGATCTTCTGAATTCACTGTCTAAAAACGTTACAGATTGGCAATCTCGCTAATGCTCTTCGTTTATTGGATGCAGAAAAGAAGAGAGAGGATCAATGAGAGGCTCAAGATTCTGCAGAACCTTGTACCAAATGGAACCAAAGTAAGATTCTGAGAAAAATATCATCAGTATTTAGTACTAACTGTAGATCGTTCTTTTTTTTTAAAAAAAGTAGTAACTGTAGATCGTAAAAGAATGCCGACAACTCAAACAGTATGGATCTCATTCTCCTTTCAGGTAGATATCAGCACTATGCTTGAAGAGGCAATGCATTACGTGAAGTTCTTGCAGCTTCAAATCAAGGTGAGGCTTTTCGCAGCCCATATGACAACTTCAGATTATTCCCTCTGCTCTTGTCAAAATTGCTCAGCAAGTTGCATTTTTTTTTCTGGTGAAAAAAAAAAACTCAAGTTGTTGGTTTTCTTGCAGCTCCTCAGCTCTGATGAAATGTGGATGTACGCACCGATTGCTTACAACGGGATGAACATCGGGATCGATTTGAACCTCTCTCAGCATTGATAAGAAAACACTTCTAACAGTGTCGAGTTACAGAAGAAAGCAGGGATCTTACTTACAAGTTACAACACAATTTGGTTAAATCAGTTCGAAGAGTTCATTGATCGTTACTACTTATTACTAACATATGCAACCGGTTTCTGGTCAATAAACTGTGCTGCACAACATAATCCCAAAAGTAAATAAAGCCATAAAAGGCCCGATGCAATGTTCTTCAGAAGCTGTTTTTTTTTAACTCGTCAGCAGTTAACCGAAGGAATGGATTGTATGGTGGCCAGAAGGATATTATATATATTTACAGGAAATCACATAGATACTGGAATACTGGAAGAGGCTCTGTAACTTGTCAAGACAAGAGAGGGCAACTTTGTTCTTTTTCTTCTTGAGAAGCAACTCCAAGGAGGAATTTCTCTTTCATTTTCCTTTTTTCAAATTTGCTCTAGGAGCAAATTTTTGTCTATAGCAGTGTATGCGAAGTGCTAGTACCATATAATATAATGTTTTTACCTTGAGCTTGCATATAATGCGTCGCATGATCGTGAACTGTCGTTAAATATACATTATAGTTATTCTAATAATGCAATTTATTTTTGTATAGTGGTTTCTTTTCTATGATCCCATCTTCTCATGCCACTATATTTATTTGTTTGAATCGTAATTTTAATCATGAAGAAGCGTGGCATGCGTTGCACATTTTCTCCTCGTCAATGGATGCTTGTATATTGCCTCCATTACCTGATCATTATTGTCCCAACAAATGTTTAATCCAGCTGTTGGTTTAAATTATTTATTCGATCAAATCTACCGGATTTCCTACCCTGTTCTGGGTAGGCATAAAAAAAGTACTCAATTGTTTGAAATACTGCTACAAAAAAAATCAAAATATCATCAACATAAAGCTCCACTACTTGCCTACTACATAAGATGCATCCATCGGCACATTATCGACATTGACATAGTTAAACTTATAGAGTTAAGGGAAACACTAGTCAGTCATAAACAGTCTCAACTATTTTCATAATCATTTTTTTACTCAAAAAGTTAAAGCTGGAAATCAAAATGGCATAAAAAAAATCAGAAAACCAAAAACAGAAATATATGAATGTAAACATATCGGTATTGATAAAAACTAGAAATAAATATCGGAAACATTTAATTATAAAATCTCACATTTAACTTTACATAACTATATATTATATATTATGACAAAATAAATTCAAGATTACACTATGTAAATTATAATTTGTCTCCCCTTTAACCTAGTCCTCAAGTTAGGGATAAGTTGAGGAGTTAATAAGCCTCTAAACTATGAATCAAATAAAAAATGGACCATAAATATTGACATATTTAGATATTTGGTAATTACTATAATATAAAAAATAGTCATTACTGTAAAAATACGATAAAATTTGAAAATGGTCGGACCACAACAAAATTGTTTCCGTCTATGTTTCCATATTTTTTTAACATTTCTAATTTTGTTTTTATCAGTACCCATTTTTACATTGCTTGACCGGTAAAAATGGGAAATGAGTGTCGGTTGGTTGGGAATTTCCATGACTATTTTCACCTATAATTATAAGTTATGGAACAATAAGTTATGGACTTTGGGTGTTCAAATCCCGGTGTTTGCAATTACGCACATGCACAATAGAAAATATTGAGGCCAGGAGATTTACCAGTTACCACGGATTTGTCTTTTCGAGAGTAATAATCGAGTGCAGTCACGTGTGTATAATGGTGTGTGCACTTCTCAGTTTTCGATGTAATAAAAGAATCACAAAATGGAGAAAATAACACTTTTAGAGCTCATTTGAAATCATGAATTAGAAAACACACTAATAGGAAAATAAAAACATGAAAGATAAATTGTCTTGTATTGTTGAATTCCTACATGAACAGAGTTCACATGAATTTACAAAGCATGTTTTTTTTTAATATCATACGAAAAACATAGGAACTCTATGACTGAAACAAACAAATCATACGGTTTCAGATGACCATATATGTAACCATGTATGCAGGGGCGGATCCAGGAACAAAAAATTGAGGGGCTTAATTACACAGTTTCTTCAATCTCCAACCATTTAGGGACATTTAGTTTATCATTCATGGTGAAAAAAATCGAAGGGGATGCTCCGGGAGGTATCCATGGGTTTTGTGGGTGTAGGGGTCCCCTGCACCCACGTTGGATCCGCCCCTGCATGTATGGATTTTTTTGCCCATAGAGCATATTTTCAGTTTTTCACCTGTATTTGCTGATGTGGCAAATGTCGGGGCCCACTGTAACTGTAACGTTCACCTGTCTGTCATGGGCTGGTTTCACGCATGGTAGTGGGCTACCGGCCAGCCCATTTTGAGGTGGTTTGGTTACGCCAAAACTTTAACCAATAAGTTCAGTTTAGGTTCGATAACTTAACAACGAGTTCGATTTTCGTTCTTGAACTGAAATACCAAAAATTACGGATCCCTCAACTATTAAAACTGGTACGTTAAAAACCGGTACAACGTAGTTCATATGACAATATAGCGGGTGTTTTGTCAGACATGGCAAATTTACCCGAGTCAACAACACTGAGTTAGCATAAGCCCCACATGTTAGGGCCTTTTCACCTATCTCTCTTTTCCTCCCCCTGTTCCCATCTCACCAAGCGACGAGTGGTGAGGAGAAGGCCGGTGGTGGGCGGTGAGGAGGCCAATGGCAGGTGGTGAGGAGGATGATGACCGATGGCCTGTTCCCATCTCACCATGCAGCAAGCGGTGAGGAGGACAACAGGGATGGCGGGTGGTGAGGACGATGGCCGGCCAGCAGGACGCCGCCTCTAGAGGTGGGTGGTAATGACGCTCTACCCACACGCTCCAACTCCTGTCCCAAGTGCCACCACTGCCCGAGGTCTAGACGGGATGACGAGATCACGGGAGGTGGGGCGGCTGCGATTTTATCCGAGATCTGCGTGAAATCGGGATGAAACGTTGCGGCATCATCGTCGTCCTCCTCATCTCTGTATCTGCGGATCCAGATGGCCCGACGACGGCGCGCGGCTACAGCGGTCAGGGGAAGAGGAAGGGGCCACCACGAGCCTCTCTCGCCGGCCGCCACCCTTCTCCCTACTGGCTACCGCCACACACCTCTCTCGCCGTCTCTCCCACCGGCCTCTCCGCATTCACCATGTCTTCCGCCACCGAGCTTCTCCCCGTCGGCCGCTGTGCACCTCTCACGCCAGAACGCGCCATTAGTTGTCGGCTGCCAACCCTGGAGGTGGAGGCCTGGAGAGAGATAGAGATGGGAAGAGAGGGGAGAGAGTGAACTTAATTGACATGTGGGCCCACGCTGACCCAGTGCTGTTGACTCAGGTCAATTTGCCACGTCGGACAAAACAACCCGCTATACTGTTATGGGACCTACATTATACCAGGGATCCGTTGTTATATCTGGTATTTCGGTTCAAGGATGAAATTGAACTCGCTGTCAGTTAAGGGAACTAAAATGAACTTATTCCAAACTATAAACTGTAGTTATCCTTCAGTAATACCGAAACTGCAGCAAACTGCTACTTACAAAGCTGCATATGTAGCTCAAACTTGTGAAGCATATCCTTTACTGATCTGATCGACTACAGTATTGACTAATTAACATCCGTGCAAAATCTTATTGATTTGGACTACTTAATTAGCTAGCTATTAGAGCAAGTATAGCAGTAGGCTATAAGCCGGCTAAATGCTAAGTTGTAGGAGAGAAGAGAGGAGAGAGAGGAGAAGCGGGCTGTAAACTTACAGCCGGCTTGAACATAAGAACCAAGAAACTCTGTGAGAGAGACAAGTGGGCCCTGTATTAATTGTAAAGAGCTAACTATTATATGAGTAGGCTGAAAAAAAGCTACAAAGAACCTTATAGCTAACAGGTCGGCTATATTATTAGCCTTGCTCTTAGACGAGGAAGATAATTAGCTAGCTAAGTCTAATCACGCAGCGAGTACTTAATAAACAAGTGCTGTTATGCTGTCCAATTCGGGTATCCACTTCTTTTAACCCAGCAGATTAGGCACTGGTCCCTTCACTTCCACTGATACTCCTTCTTCTAATTAAGTAAACTTCCAGATCTATCAGCTACTACCTTCTTGTTTTTGTTTAGTGTTAACTATCTTATCAGCATAGGTAATTTACTACCTTATCATGCATGCATGCATGCAGTAGCAGCAGCACTGACCCATTATTCAGTTTGGTTAAATTTCTCTGAAGCCATGTATAGATAGACAGTAGTGCACAGGTCGTTTTCTGGCGCCCATTTTCTTCGTTCGGTTGCCCCTTCTAGCTCGCTAAGTGTTGCTGCTTGCGGTCATATGTATATAGGAGTGTAAATTGCAATGTGTAATTAGTTTTGTGTTGCGAACTGATCTCACCTACAGAGCCCAGCCCCACACTGTCTTGTACTCTTGTGGATGAGAGATACTCATACTCTCCGTATTCAGAAGAGAACACAGTTACACAGAAGATCTATATATATTTATGTAGGGAAGAGAAGGCAATAATAAATTAAGCTAGTGATCATGATCAGCTAGCTGATCTCATTCTAGTTAATTAAGCTGAGTATATTGGTTAATTAACTTAATTGCATGTGTGCCCATCTTGATACAAGCACCTAATAGCAGCAGTTGCATGCATGGTTACTTAATTTAACCCCATGCATTGCCTGACGGTGACCCTAAACACACCCCATTACATTGTTGATTGTGTAATTGTAGATCACATGACATAACTGTAGGATCGCAGTAAAAACTAAACTGACCAGAGGGGTTTGTGCTCTTTGTTTTATTGAATGCCGCTAAATGTTAGACCACCTGCAAAGGGGAATTGACCAAAAACATTTTGAAAAACCCAATCGTTTCACTTTACTTTTCCCCTTGTCCCTCATTAGCCCAAGACACTCCCACAGACCAGAAAGCAATTTATATATGCAAATCCAGAGCATCTCTAATTATACACAAGCAAACACTGCCAAAGGACATCTAAAGAGAATATGATTAGTTGATTCAATTTTCTTACAAAACTTGCAGAATTCATCTCCCCCTCCACTTTCTCTTAACTAATTGTTCTCTTAACTAATTGTTCTACACATGGTAATCTCCCCCTGTCTGCTAGATATAAAAAATATTTAATTTGTAGGATCGTAAAAGGTCTTCCCCATAGTCAATGAGGTGAGGGGCTCCCCTACTTATGTATTAGGTCTCTTTCCCTTTTACAACCAATGTGAGACTATTCATCAATCTCCCCTTCACACATTGGTGTCCCTCAGCCATTCACTCCCCCTTCAGTCCCTCGGGTATACTTCCACGGCGCATCAACACTATGTCCTTTGAGCCAGAGATGTTGAACTAGCTAGCTCTGATACCAATTGTAGTATTGTAAAAGGTCTTTTCTACCCAAAAGCTAGCCAATGTGATGAGGGGCTCCCCTATTTATATATTAGGTTTATTGCCCTTCCACAGCTAATATGGGACTATTTAACATGATTTTCAGAGGCAATTTACTTTTCCAAATCTTTCACCTTTCTGCATCTATGACCCCTCTAAAAGTC